GTGACGTCCCACTACCTCCCTCACGCGATCGCCGTCGCTATCTCCCTCATCAACTTCCCCCTCCTCATCCCCCCTCATGCGATCGCAATCGCTACCCTCCACCATCCCGCAACCTTCCGCAAGCGACCGCCTATCGCAATCCTCCACATCAACTTCCCTCTCCTCTTCCCCCCTCGATCGGTTGCAACCGCTACCCTCCATCATCCCACAACCTTCTCAAGCGACCGCTATCGCAATTTCCCTCATCAGCGCGTCTCTCCTCTTGCTCCCTCGAGCGATCGCAGCCGCTACCCCCTTCATCCCGCAACCTTCCTCGAGCGACAGCTATCGCTATCTCCGTAATCAGCTTTCCTCTTCTCTTCCTCCCTCAAGCGATTGCAGTCGCTACCCTCCATCATCCCACAGCATTCCCCAAGCGATCGCTATCTTTATCTTCTCCATCAGCTCTCTTCTCCTCTGCATCCCTCAAGCAATCGCAACCGCTAGCCTCCATCATCCCGCAACCTTCCTCAAGCGACCGCCGTCGCTATCTCCTTCGTCAATTTCCCCTTCCTTTTTCCCCCTCAAGCAATCGCAATCGCCGGCCTCCATCATCCCGCAGCCTTCCTCAGGCGACCGCTACCGCTATCTCCCTCATCAACTTCCTTCTCCTCCTCCCCCATCAAGCGATCGCAATCGCTACCCTCCATCATTCCACAACCTTCCTCAAGCGACCGCTATCGCTATCTCCCTCACCTTCCCTTTCTCCCTCCCTCGAGCGATCGCAATCACTTCCCTCCATCATCCCGCAACTTTCCTCAAGCGACAGCTATCGCTATCTCCCCCATCAACTTCCCTCTTTCCCCCCCTCAAGCGACCGCAACCGCCAGCCTCCATCGGCCCACAACCTTCCTCAAGCGATCGTTATGGCTACCGGCCTCATTAACTTCAATCTCCTCTTGCTGCCTCAAGCGTTCGGAATCGCTGGCCTCCATCATCCCGCAGCCTTCCTCAGGCGGCCGCAATCGCTATCTTCCTTATCAACAACTCTCCCCCTTCTCTCCCTCCTTCGTGCGATCGTAATCGCTAAGGTCCATCATCCCACAACCTTCCCAAAGGATCGCTATCGCTAGCTCCTCCATCAACTTCCCTCTCCTCTTTTTCCCTCAAGCGATCGTAAGCGCTACCCTCCATCATCTCGCTACCTTCCTCGAGTGATCGCTATCGCTATCTTCCCCGTGCTCTGGAGGAGAGGGGCAGGATGAGGTGGAGGCAGAAAAAGGAAGGGGAGGGAGCAAGGGAGGTTTGAGCGGCCATGGTCCATGTACTTGGCGATGCGTGCTGGCGTGCCTGCACGGTTCTGCAGCAACAAGCACTCTCCTTCTCTCGGTCGTCGTTCTCGATCATTCTCCTTCCCCCTTCAGGATGATAGGTGGTGAAACTGAAGCTGCGTCTACCCCGTCAGGGATTCACTTGCCGCGGCGGCGACCCGCGAACTAATTGGGTGGGGGGGCCGATTCCAGGCGCGCGAGTCGCGGAGGGGGCTGAATGGAGCATGGGCTTAAGTTCAGCAGAAGTGCTAGTGCATGAGGCGAAGGTACTACTACGAAAAACTACGTTATTTAGTGCTACGTGATAAACTTATCTCGCTGCCTAAAAGAGGACACATACTTGTACGTGGCACAAATGTAGGTGCACAACCAAGCAAACACATGCATCACTGACAAACATTTTATCCCACTTCCGCCACTTACGCCAGCACAAAACTAATTTCAGCCCAGCCATAACGAGTCCACAATTAACACAATAATTTCCAGCCTTTAAGCATAGCCCGAAGCCATCAGGGGTAACTCGGGGCAGGGTTAACTCGGGTTTGTTTTTCGGGAATCCGAACCCGAGTTGCCCTGGGCCCGAATTCCCCCGGATAATTCTGGCGTCCAGAGCCCCAAAGCATCAGGGGCAAATCGGGTCAGGGCTAACTCGGGTTCGTTGTTCTGGAATCCGAACCCGAGTTGCCCCAGGTGTAATTGCCCCAGATAATTCGGGCGTCCTTGGCCCCAAATCAGCAAGGGTAGCTGGGGTCAGGGCTAACTCGGGTTCGTTTTTCGGGAAGCCGAACCCGAGCTAACCTCGGCCCGAGTTACCCCGGATAATTGGGGCGTCCAGAGCCCCAAAGCATCAGGGGTAACTCGGGTCAGGGCTAACTCGGGCACGTTTTTCGGGAATCCGAACCCGAGTTGCCTTTGGCCCGAGTGAACCCGCATAATTCGGGCGTCCAACATGCGCGCGCAAACGGAGAGAAGCGGCACTTCCCGTTCTTGTCCGGATAGGTTCCAGGAAAAAGGCCGTTTCGCTGGAGACGTCCTCGGGACATCGGCTCCGGGGAGGACCCCGAGTCAGCATTATCTGAGACTCGCTCTCGTCAAAGCGACCCACTAGAGCTCCCGAAGACCCCCGAGGGTCCCCCAAAAGCGCCCTGGGGGGTCCCCAAGAGGCCCCCAAGAAGCGCGCGCACGGAGGCCCCCGAGAGCCCCCGCGAGAGGCTCCCAAGGGTTCCAAGAGAACTGGGATATCAAATGGGCGTAGCCCCCAACCTCGTCCTGGTTCTCGTTTTCCTCATAGTTTTCCTCCTGCTCCCATCGCTGCCCTCCCCTTCATCCACGTTGCCATCCTCGTCATCCGCCGCCTTATCGTCGCCTTCATCCTTCCCTCGTTCCCCCCTTACGAGCCCAATAAGCAAAATCGGCGCTTCCCGCTCTTGTCCGATCAAGTTTTGTGGGCTGAGATTTTGGCAGCCTGGGTTTTCAACCATCCTTGCGCAATATGCGTGGACACATGGCTTGGAAAGGTCAAGCTTTATTATCGACTTTGTTAGAATGTTCTGTTTTACCATCGGCCCATCGCACTGCAATTCGTGTTTCTGGGATGAAAGGCCTGTCGGAGGCCTCTTGGGCTTTCTTTGGGAACATCCCGAGTTCCGTGTGTGGGCTTGGAGGTCATATTGCAATGATCTTGAGGGCTGCTTCGGTCGTCGTGGACGCTTACAGTAAGACGGAGGATGCGACAGGGTTCGAGTCATGCAGCCACATTGGTCTTCGACGATCTGTGGAACGTCTTAGGGTCTCGCTGGGGGGCCTCTTTGGGGTCTTTTGGGGCCTTTTCGGGGAACCCTTAGGCTGTTTTGGCGCTGTATGGCGCAGCTTCGGAGCCTTCTTGGGCTGTGTTAGACTCACTCGGAGGCTGCCTTGAGTTGTCTTGGGGGGTCTCTTGGGGTCGTCTTCTGCAGTTTTGAGTGGTTCTTGGGGTTTTCCGGGGCAGGTTTGGGGATCCCTAAAGCCATCTGGACGCTGCGTTGAGCCGAGAAGCCGACAAGGTGATACACTTGGGGAGCCCAGGGAGCCCATCGGATTTTGACAATTTGGGCTGTTTGGAGCCTCTTCTGGAACGCCTTGGAGCCTATCTTGGAGTCTCTTGCAGGACTCCTGGGGTCTCTTGGGTCCTCTTGGAGCCTCTCGAGGGTGCTCCGTGTCTTTGTGGGCGCTTCTTGGGAGACTTCTGGGGGATCCTGGGGTTCGGCGATGAGCGAGGGGGGGAAATGAGAATGCAGAGGCTTTTTCAGAAGGCGGCGGGAGCAGAAGCCCTCCGGTCTTCTAAGAAGTTTTCCGTGTAGGCGGGGAAGGCTCAGTTCTCAAAGTCTGGAGGCCTTCCGAGGCTTCTGAGAAGGCCTCCTCCTTCTCATTTCCCCCCCTCGCTCGCCGCCGAGGGGTCGTGTTGGGCGGGCTCTTCTTCTGGAAACTAAACGCGACACCCCAGGCGCGCCCTAGAATTATCCCGAGAAGCTTTTGGGAATTCCTGGAACCCAGCGGTCGCGGCCTTGAAGAAACCTACGACCCTCGAAGGCTCGCGACCGCATGCCTCCGCAATCCTACAATTCCTGGAACGCTCACAATTGTCTGTCGACGGCGAGCGAGGGGGGAAGTGAGAATGAGAAGGTCTTCTCAGAAGGCGGCGGTGCTTCTCAGAAACCCTCGGGCCTTCTGAGAAATTTTCTGTGTCTTCGGGGAATGCGCCTTGTGTCGGCGACTGCAAAGGGTGTGGTTATGCCGGGGTGTGGTTTGCGATCGGCGCCGTTGGGGCCTTGGGGTTACGAAACTGTCCTCGTCGGGCTTCCTAGGAGCGCGGCGGGGAGCTCTGTCGAGGTCCCCGCCCGCCCCTCGGGGTGCCGCCACGGTGCTGGTTGCAAATTACACCCTTCGCAAACCACACCCTTTGGAGTTGCCGGCAACTGTGCGAGCATTGGGACACTCCACTACGTGCTGAAATCACGATGGCGGATACTTCCAAGTGAAGGAACCATACAACGACATCGTGCGGAGCCTAGCATCATGTATTGCGAAAACATGGGTTGCCACATTGTACAGTACAACGGACTTGTATTGAGACGTCGGGGGTCTTGGATGCCGTTGGGTGGGCTGGTGCGTGGGCCAGTGGACTTGTCGCATCTCGCCATCCCACGCTCCCTCTCCCTCCATCCCTCCCTCCCTCCGTCCATGCGTCGATGCAGACGATGGTTTAGTGTTCCCAATCGGTGCTCCCAGTTATGCCGTCTGCCGCAGTAGCCAGACAGGCGACTGGCAAAGCTGCTTCGCATGAGGGGAAACAGCGCTACGGTACCCCAGCATGGCGTGGCCGTCATGCTGTTGGGTTACCTGCTCGGCGCTGCTTGCATGCTTCTCAGTTTCAGGGGCATCTCAGGGCCTCCCCACAGCCTCTCGGAGGCCTCTGAAGGGCCTCTTGGTAGCCGGTTCGGGGATGTGTGCCCCTTCGTCTCTTCGTCTCTTCCTCTTCGTCCTCCTCCGCCTGAGCTTTCCTCCCCCCCACCCTTTTCCTCCTCTTCCTCGTCCCTACCCCTCTCCCTCTCCCTCCCCCTCCTCGTCCTCGTCCTCGTCCTCGTCCTCGTCCTCCTCCCCATCCTCCCCCTCCACTTCGCCAGACTGCATGCTCGCGGCGGCGCGCGCCAGAGCTCTGGCGCCTTGCCGCGGCCCGCGGCCCGGTGGCGGCGCGCGGGCCTCGATGGCCTGGAGCAGCCAGGGGTCGCCGGCGAGGGGTCGGGGGCGGCCAGCGCGCGGCTGCGACGAGGAGGGGGTCCTGCTGCTGCTGCTGCCGCCGCGGCCGGTCTCCCGCCTCTTTCGATTCCTCTGCCCCCGCCTCCTCCCTCCTGCCTTGTGCCTCCGTGTCCTTTTTTGCTTCTATCTCCCTTCTCGCTCCTTGACCCTCTCGCTGGCCTCTCGTCTGCTCTCTTCCTCTATCGCCCCCTCTTTTTCTGCTTTCTTCCTCTATCGCCCGTCCATTCTCAGCAGCATCAACTTCATCACCATCAGCATCGTCGGCGTCGACATCGTCCCCACCGTCGTGATGAACATCATCTTCATCGTCTTTGTCGCTGCCCACTTGAGTTTTTCAGCACATGGCGGGTGGGTGGGATGTTTGCGCGAGCATTGGTGGTGGTCACGTGCGCATGCGGTCAACATTCATTGCATCTCACGGACTGATATATTCAGGAAAGAGATAGACTCCGCCTCTCTCCCGAGCCTGGACTTACCACTCCCCCCTTGGGCACTGCAAGTTCCATATGGTTTTGCCTTGCTGATTTTCAATATGGAATCATGCCATCCCGAGCCAGCAGGTATCGGTGACCACCCGTTGTCCCTTCCAAATGATCCCATGCGTGCACATCCGCTCATCACAAAGTACGATTTTACAGAACACATCTTCGAAACATACCACAAAGTCCACACGAACGCGCACATGTCGCAGTCACACCAAAGACTGTAGCTTCGCAATACATCCAAAAGAGAACATCAGACACTGATCGGTTTTCCGTCACAGAGCCTGCAGATTTCTTGCCCGCGCGCACCGGCTTCAATTATAAGAACATATGTGATTCGAGACATCTTTTCCAGAACCCACAATCTTTCAGCCACGCGCAGAGGGGGGTGGGGGGAGGGGGGAGGGCTTCTTAGAAGCGACCCTGCTTCTTAGAAGGCGCGGGCCTTATCTATAGATGTAAGGCTGGCGCCTTCTAAGAAGCAGCCTCCTAAGAAGCCCCCCCCCCTCCCCCTTCCCCCTTGTGCGCGCCGCCAAATCTTGTCTCACAATGTGGTGCATCCGCGTCGATCAAGCGTGCGCCCAGTGCACGAATCCGCTTCAGCTAACGCCATGCGGGCCACGTTCGCGCGCGCCGCTGCATGCGCGGGTCGAGGTCGCTCCCGAAGCATCTCGAGTTCAGCAACATGTGGACCACTCAGATTTTATTATCAACAAGTTGGCCAGAATCTCGAATTTCAGCGCGCGCACTTCCTCACCGTCACCCTCGGCAGCGCCACCACACCACCGCCGTGTTGTCGTCAGCGCCAATCGCCGTTCTTGCTGCAATCATCAGCACAGTCGAATTCATCACCGACACGTGGCCATCATCGTTGACGTCGTCACCGGCATCGGCGCCGTCGTCTATCGGCCTTGCCGTCGTCATCGTCACCATCGCCACCACCATCGCTAGTATCATCGTAGCTGCCGCTGTGGTCGACGCCATCGTGACATCTTGCCCGCCCGACGCAGGTGCCCGCGCGCCAGCGCGGCCTTGAAGACGCGTTGGGAAGTTCCCACTGGTGATCGCCATCGCGGCCGAACCAGCTGGTCGATCTGCGCGCGAGCGTGCGCGCGCCAGCGCGGCCGTAGAGATGTGCCAGCAAATGCCAAGCAGTGGCTGGAATCGCGTCCGCATGGGATTCGTAGAACAAGGTTTGGGGGGGGCGAGCAGTTGAGTTCTCATTCCATTCGAAAAAAAGATAGGCCACCCCCGGGCTGTGTGCCCTCTGTGGACATTGCAAATCACATACGTTCTGTTTTGTCGTTCATTAAATGAGATCGTATCGTCCCAGGCGACCGGGTATCGCCCCCGCTCATCCCTGTCAAATGATACCATGTGCGCGCAGTCGTGCATACCAAAAATCAAGTTTCCAAGGAAGTCTTGCAACACATTGCTTAACATCCACGCGCGCACATGTCAAACTCATACCATGTAGGGCCCATTTCAACATTCTCACATAATCATTGGTGTCTTTTTCATTGCGGCGCTTGCAGATTTTCTGCCCGCGTGCATTTTTTGAAACCTTCGGACAACGATCTGATTTTCACAATCTCGTCTAGACGTTGCTTGCTCATCTGACCACGCGGTTTTCGCGTTGATCTAACATTCGCCTGGAGCAACAATCCATATCAAATAATGTCATGCTGACCACGCGCGCCGCCACGCGCGCGTGTCGAAGTCCTGCCAAAACCACGTGTTGTCGAATCATCTCCAGATACATCTTTTCAAACACATGCGCAATACATGCTGTTGTTCTACCAGCGATCGGACAGGTTTCTCGCATTTTCGCGCGCCCTGTCCCACCATCGCACTCATCAGCCCCACCGCAGCACCCGTTGTCGTCATCGTAAGTCGACGCAATGGCCGCCATCGTCAGTCAATCAATTTTATGACCTGCGCGTGGTCATCATCCCCGTCATCGTTGTCACCAGCATTGGCGCCGTCATTGGCCTTGCCGTCATCATCGTCATCATCGCCATTACCATTGCTTCTATTATCGCCGTTGCCGCCGTTGTCGGCGTTATCACGGCACTGCGCCCGCCCGAGTCACCGACCCGCATTGAAAAGCCCGCGCGCCAGCCCGGCCTTGGAGACGCGATGGGAGGTCCCACCGGTAATTGCCATCGCTCGCGACAGCCTCGGCTGTGTCAAGTCGGTTTGCCGATCTGCGCGCGAGCCTGCGCGCGCTAGCGCAGCCGCAGAGACGCGCCAGCCAGTGCCAAGTATTCACCGCCATGGCGGCTGCATTGGTTGTGCAAAACAACTTGCGGGCGGGAGGGTGGAGTGGTCGCGCAAGCAGTGGCGTTGACGAGTTCAAGACCAGCTGGGTGGATTGCACTACGTACTTTGCACCATGGCTAAAACACATCCAGAGTGACAGAAACACCTTTTGGGGTTTTCGCTGGTTCGCATATTCTTGACGTTTCGCGTGCCACCGGCAGCCCATCCAAAAACAGGCACCATTCAAAGGGTGTATAGCGTCCGGGTTGAGTTGTTGCCTGTCGTTGCTTGCGGTGCCGCGATCGGGGCCGTCTTGGTGTAATGGTTGCCTATCATTGCTCGTCGCCTGTGCGTTGTTTGGGGCGCGCGAACACTGACGACGCGCGCGTTGGTTATTCGGCAACTAACAACAGCGACCACAGGCAACTTATCCTCCAAGGTAGCTTCAAGAACCGCGGGACCACGTCGACGACGCCGACGACGACGAGGACGACAACATCCTGTCGGCCCATCCCGTCGACACGTACGCATGTACAAATGTAGTTTCCCGTCGGCCCATCCCGTCATTGTGCCTGGGTCGTGGACGAGGAGCCCTCTTGGGGTCTCTTGGGAGGCTTTTTTTGGGCCTGTTGGTTGCCTGTTGGGGGCCTTCTGGGGCCTCTGGTTCGCTTCATGTAGGCCTCTCAGGGGCCTCTTGCTGACCCGCTGCTGGAGAACAGGATTCGACATGCTAGTTCTGATTCCCCCTCCGAGGCCGTCTTGGGGGCTTTGCCCTCTTTGGAGTCTCGGGCGCCGTCTTGGGGCGATCTTGGGGGCCTCGTGGGCCATATCGGACGCTCCTAAGACGGAACTGGCGGACATTCGAACACGATACAGCACCTGAAGGATCTGAGCGATTTCGGCCCCGAGGGCTCCCGAGACGGCCCAGCAGTCTCCCAGGAGGCCCCCAGGACGAGCCCTCGGGGCCCCTCTTGGGGCATGCCGGACGAGCCCTTCCCGTGCCCGCGCTCCCTGGGGCCTCTGCCAAAGGTCCCACGACAGAACTGGGTGAGTCGAGCGACGCACCCTTCGGGCTTGGAGGGACGGGGGTCCATGCAAACGGGGGCCAGCCAGAGCGCGGGATCTTGCAGGATCCTGTGGAGCCAGGTGTGCATTGAGCCCGGGTCAGCGCGCAGGCTCTTGCAGGAAAGCTTATGATTCTTCAAGGCTCTGCAGAGCCACCCGCGTTTGCACTGATCCAGGTCAGTACATCCCCGAATCCCGTGAGAAATCTACGAATGGGGGCTTTGGGCCCCTTGAAGAGGCTTCACGATGCCCAGCACAGAGAACCCGAAGGGACCCGAGGACATTTCACCCAGTGCCTACGTCGGTGTGGCGATGCTGAGTGTGATGATGTCGAGAAGGGTGTGGAGGAGGTGGCGCAGGAGGAAGCTGATGTGGGGATGGGGGAGGTGGGCCGGGAGCCGGCCTCGGCGCAATTCGATTTCTCGCCGCTGTACTTGCGACCCGTCCTGTACAGGGCACAGTCGCCCTCTGGCGGGATCGCAGCCTCAGAGTGCGAGCCTGGTGCAGTTCTCGAGGGAGCGTGGCCTCTCGGCTGCGAGCCCGTGTTCATTTTCGATGGACTGTGCTTTGGCTGGCAGCTCTGGCCCGCTCGACCTGGAACTCTTCCGAGTCTAAGTGCCCCCCGCCCTCCCCTCCCCCCTCGCGCGGCCGTTCCCTCCTTCCTTCCCATTCTCTTGCATGCCGGGCAACTCGATTTTCGGTGCCCCGGTTTAGCCTCATGCTAGTGTGGATTGCGTCCGCCTCGCCGCCGACGAACAGATGTTTTGTGTGTTGCAGATCTAGTGTAATTTGAACAGATTCCTGGCCTGTTGATCGCAAAACTTGTTCCGTTTACTGGAGATCCTGGCCTCGGGAACGCGAACCTGTTGTAGTTTGCTCGAGATTTTGGCCTCGGGAGCGCGAATCTGGCGCCAGTTACGCGGGATTCTAGCTTCGGGAGTTCCAATCTGCCATCATTTGTAAGTGGTTCTGGTTTCGAGGGCGCGAATCTGGAGTAATTTCCTAAGTATTCTGTCCCTAGGAGCGCGAACCTGGTGTAATTTGCAGGAAGGTGTGGCCTCGGGAGCGAAGTTTTGTATACTTTACGATCGATTCTGGCCTCGGGAGCGCGAGCCCGGGTTGATTGGCAAAGGCATGTTGGCTCGGAGGCGCGTTCAGGCAATGCGCTTCGGGGACGGTGACCAAGTGGTTTTCGGCTCCCCCCCTCGCTCGGACACCAACAGTTCACAGTAGGAGACCTAATGTAGAAATCAAAACATTGGAGATAAGAAACTGGAACTGGAACAGGTTGCAGGAAACCTCAGCCGCGCTTCCTGATGGCCCCACAGGGGGGCCGGCGGATTTTGCCGCTGCGGACTTTTCCACTCTCTGCTCTTTCTGGTCGCCTCGCTTAGCTTGGATTTGCATCCCGGTGCTGTGTGTGGCCTTGGTGCTGAGACTCTGTGTCGAGCCCGGGGGGAAGTGAGAAGGGGCGGGCGTTCTTAGAAGGCTCGGAAGTCACCCGGCCTTCTGAGAAGTTTCTTGAGATTTCCCCGGAGACGCAGAAAACCTCTCAGAAGGCCGGAGGGCGTCTGACAAGCCCCGCCGCCTTCTGAGAAGGCCTTCTCCTTCTCTCTCCCCCCCGTCGCCCACTGCCGAACCTCGGGATTCCCCCCAAAAGTCCCCCAGAAGCGCCCAAACAGGCACAGGGGCACAGGGCACCTCTCGAGAGGCTCCAGGAGGACCCAAGAGACCCCAGGAGGCCCGCAGGGGCCTCCAGGATGGGCTCCAGGGCGCTCCAGGAGAGGCCCCGAGGCTCCAAGATGGGCTCCAGGGCTCCAAGGGCCCCGCTCCCTGTGCCGTGTGTGGCCTTGGCGCCGAGGCTGCCCCCACCCCCCCCCCAGCGTCGGGAGGAGCGGGCCCCGCGGCCGCCGCGGGGCCGCGCCGCGGACGAGGAGGTGGTGGCGGGCGCACCGAGGCGCCGCCCCGCCCTCCCGCACCCCGCGCTGGGACAGGAGGCACTCGGCAGCAAGCCATGGGACGTGCCAGAGGCCCTCCTGCTCCTCCTGCTCCTCCTGCTCCCTCCCTCCTCCATCCTCTTCCTCCGCCTCCTCCTCCCTCCTCCTCCCTCCCTCCTCCTCCTCCCTCCTCCTCTCCTCCCTCCTCCTCCTCCTCCTCCTCCTCCTCCTCCTCCTCCTCCTCCTCCTCCTCCTCCTTCCTCCCTCCTCCTCCCTCCTCCTCCTCCTCCTCCTCCTCCTCCTCCTCCTCCTCCTCCTCCTCCTCCTCCTCCTCCTCCTCCTCCTCCTCCTCCTGGCACGGCTGGATCGGCTGGATCGGCGTCGTCCTCTCGAGCGACTCGGGGGCGGCCACGAGGGGGGTGATGACTATGATGGGGCTGTTTTCCAGCACCATCACCATGAGCTGGAGGGGGGGAGGAGGTGGAAGATGATGATGATGAGGAGGAGGAGGAAGAAAAACAGGGGGAGGAGGACCCCCTCCCCCCTTGAACTTATGGTGGTGGTGGTGGAAACCAAGCCAGTCAGACTAGGGGGGGTGGATATCATGGCGGGGGCCACGATGTCTCCCCAGATTTCATGGCGCCTCCTCTCATTTCGATGCGTCCCTGCCCCCCCCCCCGGGGCGGCGCACATGCTGGCGGCCATGATTTGCGCCCACCGCCCCCCGCACCCTTTGACGCCCCCCTCTTGGACGTCCCCGAGCGACGGGCCATGTTCGGTAGCAGATCATGGGAGCCTGGTATACCCTCCGAATTCCATCTTTAGTGTCGACAGGCGTCGATGAGCGCCTGGGAATCGATGAGGTAGCGCCGACTTAGCGTCGGCTAGCGTCAATTTGCGTCGATTAGCGTCGATTAGCGTCGACTCGCAAGAGCCCACAAGATGGTATGGGAGGCTCCCACCGAAGGAGGAAGGCCGTTGGAGGAGGTGGAGTGGAGGGCGGCGGGGGGCAGGGAGGACTCGGGACTCAGGCTGGCGTTGCATGAATTGTATGCCGTCACGTCGCCGAGGCTGCAGGAAGAGGTGCCACGCACCTCTAGCTGCCGGAACAAAGCTGCACGCGTGCGTCCTCGCTGGCGGAGGTCAATGTGGAATACCTTCCACGCGGAGGCAAGCGATGGCTGCCGCGAGAATGGTGGAGGAGGAGGTGCAAAATAGGAAAGGGAATGGGGCCGCAGCGATATGAATACTATCGCCTAAAGCCAGAGGCGGTAGCTAACGCTGAGACGTGCACACCTGCAAACAGAGGCCACAGTTTGGTAATCCTTTGACAAAAATGCGGACGACTAGTGTAGTCAAGCTTTGTTCCGTTAAGAGAAGCTCGAGTGTGTCAAAAGGTGCCTGAGTAGGAGGGCCCAGAGGCATGTGAGATTCGTGGAAAAGAGGGAAGGGAGTCGAAGGAGAAAAAACGCTATATACACAAACTTTTGGCGCTCCGCGCGGATTTCTTGGATCTCGGCTGGGGCCCCCCGACCGCCCCTGGCGCGCTCCGCGCGCCAGGGAGGGGGGCCTAGCGCGGATCCAGGGAATCCGCGCGGAGCGCCAAGAATTTAATGTTATGGCGTTTTTTCTTTCTTCTAGGGAGGTGT